CCCACGTAACACGCCCTATACCATGCGCATAATACACACCCATCTATACCATGCGCAAAATACACACCCACGTAACACGCCCTATACCATGCGCAAAATACACACCCACGTAACACGCCCTATACCATGTGCATAGCCAAGCCGGCACAGTGGTGTGCGTCCAGTAGCAACGAGAGACCCTTTGTGGCCTCGGCAACCGCAGCACCGCCTCGACTCTCGCCCCACAGTGTGAATGCATACGACAGATAGGTCTGAGCTAAGCCCAACAGCCCCGAGGGGTTCATGGGATCGTCCCGCAGGCTGTCGGCGTAGGCGGCAAACGCTTCAGGAAAGAAGGACAATATGCGATACACTTCGCCCAATCGCGCCCTGGTGATAGAAGAGAGGCCTTATACGATGAGTGTGCGTGTGTCACTGTGTGTGTGTGTGAGTGAGTTGTAAGTGTGAGTGTGTGTGAGTTGTAAGCGTGAGTGTGAGTGCGAGTGCGAGTGTGCGCTTTGGCGATTGCGCCGATGGTGATACAAATGTCGTACATGCATGGTTAGACCTATTGCCGGCCCGTTATATCGTATTGAACGTATTGTAGTTGCTATCTGTTTCTGGAAACCGTAGTCGTAAATGTTATCCTGTTCCTAGTGTGGTGCATGAATGAAGGGTATCGTCAAAGTGTGTGTGAGCATGCGTGCGAGAGAGGGGAGGGGTGCAGGTGCAGACCCAGGCAAGTACACATGTACACTGTTGTTGTCCTGGCCTCTGACCTTATATAAACGTGCCACGCATTCCATTGACATTAGCGATGCAGTAATGGCAAACGAGATAAGCGGCTAAATACGGGGTCGATACAGCTTTGTATATGGAAGAGTGTGAACAAGGTATGGTACGAGATCTACTATACGAAACATGTGCACAATCACACGCACCCAGAAGACATATACAAATGCAAATCATATATCATCACAGATGTCTAGAGAGCGCCGGATTCTCGTTAAAAACGCAACGTGTTGCTGCACATTAGAACCCCATACCGACAATAGGAAATACAGCACAATGCCGCCTGCTCTGGGCATTCCAGCTGAAGCTCTTCATACGAACTCACAGCCTTCGTCAACGCCTTCTGTGCGGCAACAAACTGACCCAGATGTAGGTAGCACTCCCCAAGGTTCTCCCAGCTGCGGTCAAAAGGGCGTGCGACAATGTTATATGTTAATTAAAGGGTGTGCGATAATGCTATATGCTAATTATGTGATGCCGATACAATTGACTACGGAGTCTGTGCAAACTTGGATGTGGTGGGATCTGAAATAGGACACGTACCATGCACTATTCTACTTGGCACGTGCATGCATAGATGTGTCCGTTATATTAACGCGTACATGCATACTTACCAACAATCAGCTAGGGATATGTAGGTAAAGCTAAAGCGCGCACAGTTCAAGCATAGATATATTCCGTCATACATCACTCGTGATCATGCACCTCCACGACTCCCGAGGGGGAGAGGAGAGAGTGTGTGTACGAGGGTAGGCTATACACCCGCCCTGCGCAGCCTACCCGCAGGTGACCTGTAGCCCTAGCTGGCTCACTGGACTTGGACCACTCAAATTATTAAAATAGCGATCATACATGTCCCTATCCCTACGGAATGATATGGCTGGATAGGCGCAGGTGAGGCTGGTGAGAATAAATGCGGCGGCTAGAACTCATGTGTTAAACTTATATATGTACATGCTAAATTCTACTACCTCACATATACCTATACGTCCCTTGAATTTTCAAACATGCATTCGTATGTATATATGTATGGGTGTCACAACCCGTGTACGTATCTACCATGAAGCACCATTCATACACCTGCAATAGTCACAGCGCACAACTCAATACACGCGATACATCAATCTGAGCCATTGGTAAGGCTGCCAACTGCGCTGACACAGCCGCGTGGGTGTCACATACGCCTCCACATTGTTCTTTTCTGCGCGCAGGCCCGTCTGAAAGTACTCGATTGCTTGTTGGTATTGCCCTGTGCTGCTGCAGTATATCCCTGACCGAAACCACGCCCACGGCACGCGGTGTCTGAGCATCTGGGTGGGGTGTGTTAGCCAGAAAGAGACGTGAGATAGAGAGACGCACTGGGCCACTGTGCTTTCTATCCACCAATGAAAACCACGATACTGGCTATCCACCAATGAAAAGTGCGTAATCTGCGACATGCAACGCAGTAGTGCAATGCGAGCAAGGGGTACTGCACTACCAGTCGGTAGCATCACGCGTGGCACGGGTATCTGAACACCTGATATTCTTGAGACCTGCACCCAGAACAGATAGCCGTTGAACGCTTACCTCATCTTCGACTGAACCTGTGACGGATACTGTTGTGAGGCGCACATGCAGATTATAAGCATCCACCAGTCTCCTCTCCGACAAGTACAGATCACTCAGTGTTTTGGCCAGCTGGACGGTCTGCGCGAGTCCAAAACTGCTCGAATAGGACAACATCGAGCCCCAAATCGCCTCAGAATAGGGCGGGGCTTCGAAAGGGTAGGCAGAAAGCGCGACCGAAGTCGCCTTCGCATAGCATTTCACACCCCGTGCATGCGTACTGGGCCTATTTTGGTTGGTATGGGCAAAGGAACGCTAAAACGTTGAGAGACTATGGGATGTTCGAGGATTGGGGCGACGATCACCCGCAACTACGAATGAATACACCTGACTATGATGCACGCGCAAATAGAGTTGTGTAGTACCTGGCCCTTCGCTTATAGCGTACGTGTGGCGGTGGACAAGCTAGCCAGACGACTATTGCTTCATAAACACTTGAGCCGGAAATAACAGTACACGCAGAGTTTGGCCAATCCAACGTGTGTGCCCTCGGAGACGCACGCGTACTTGCTGACTGTGCTCGACACACTTCAACAATACACACGAGATAGCAACATATGCACATCAGCGCTGCAACAACCCCCAGAGTACAAGGAACGTTTATATGGCTCGGGTTTCACACACACGAGACATGACATGGCCTGTTGTATTGTTCGTGGGTGAGAGAGATTGACATACCCGAGGCCAAGATAGTAGTTTCCCAGGTAGGTGTATATATCCGCATACGGCTTCGCAGCGGTGAGCTTGGCCGCCTGCAACAGATGTCGCGAGCACGCCGCACTCTTGTCCTGACCAGTCACCAGCACCGACGCGACGGCATCGGATTGCATCGAACTGTCGCCAAAGTCTGTGTCACTCATATCTAAGAGGGCCATCCCCAGCCGCCCCTCACACAGACCGTAGAGGTTGGTGAGCAGTTGCGTAACGCGGATGTTCTGTGCCGGCTCTTTGGTGTCTGTGTTGGCCGAGGGGAGTGTCGGTGTGTCACCGGTCTGTTGGCAGACACAAAAGCTGACTGGTGAGAAGCCGCACACGCCCGTGTGTGGGTAGATCATAGTACTGATACACAACACGAGAGCGACAAGGCCCCCAACGCGGCCATAGGAAGTTTATGGGCAACGTTTTCAGCCGTTGCGTGCATCTAAAGGGGTTCAAACACACTAACTAACACGCACATAGCACTGTCGTCCCTGTTCCTGAGCTTACCTTCAACCCATCCAGCGCGGTCTTGTATAGCCCCATGGCGTGTGCGTAGTGGCCCACCGCCTTGCAGTAGTCCTGTTGGAATTGCCACACCCAGCCCAATTCGCTCTCAACACTCGCACGTGCTAGACGCCACAGCATGCTGGCGTCGGGGTTAGCGTGGGCACTGGTACTTTCCGCACACACTTTGGTGCATAGGCTCAGTGCACGCTCTAGATGGCTCACGGCCCTGTCCCACAGCGCTCGCAGGGTCGCGCACCGCGCCAATTGCACATGTGCACCTACTTCACTGTGTAGTAGCCTGTGAATAGGGTTGTTAAGGAGCGTGTCAGAAAACCATTTGCAATGATTCATGTGGCACTGAGTTTAGTGTAGTGTCTTGTAGACAGGGTTGTGAAGGAGTGTGTTAGAAAACCATTTGCAATGATTCATGTGGCACTGAGTTTAGTGTAGTGTCTTGTAGACAGGGTTGTGAAGGAGTGTGCTAGGAAAGCACCTGCAAGGATTCATGTGGCACTGAGTTTAGTGTAGTGTCTTGTAGACAAAGTTGTTAAGGAGCGTGTTAGCAAAGCACCTGCAAGAATTCATATGGCCCTGATTTTAGTGTAGTGTCTTATAAACAGGGTTATCAAGGAGCGTGTTAAAAAAAGCACATGCAAGGATTCATGCGGCACTGAGTTTTGCCACGCACGCTCACTGTAGTGTGTTGTGTAGGAGGCTTTGTTACATGCCACTTACTTTCGCCCACAAGTAGCACTGAGACCCGTATGACAACTGGGCGCGGAACATCAGACACGACTGAACCATGTTTAAGAACCAGTAAGCAGAGAACGGAGGACAAATCCACAGCTACTGACATCCCACAATCGCATACCACAATCAAAACAGCCGGTAACATCAACGTATCAGCCCTATGATATCATCTGAACGCTATCCAACGTATGCAATACCTGCCAGTCCACACACAATTCCAACCCAACACCTCATACATACCCCTCAACGCTCCCATCGCAACCCTCTGCGCCGCCAGCCCGAGCACTCAGATCACTCACAACACCTTCCAGCATGTGCATCGCCTCCTCAGTGTGGCTGTCGCCCATCGCCAGCAACACCCGCGCCGTGCAGGTGCGCAGTTCATTCCACCGCCCACCCAACACGGCCACGCGCTCACTCTGCGCGAAATACAGCGCGGCGTCGCGTCCCTGTCTCCGCGCCTTCTTACCGCCGCTGAGAAGATAGTTGGCTCCCTGTCGCGCGAGCTCTAGCGCTCTCTGATGGTTACGCGCACGAGTGAGGCGTAGTACCAGCAGTACCCAGCCCGTCACATAGTGCGGGTACCTATCAACACCCTCAGATAGCAGTTTGATATCGTAATCTGCGAATGTGGGGTGTGCGGTGCAAAGGATTTATAAACATACGAAGACTACGACATAGGGCGGGCAAAAGCGGATGACTGTGCGAGTGCAACAGGCCCATAGCCGATGCAGACGAGGCACAGACTGGCGGGGCTATGCACACAGGCACGATAAGCAGGGCACCGAATGACCTATTAGCACAAGGTACATGGTACACAAAAGTCCCATTCTTTGACCGGTTGGGGGGGGGGGGGGGGGTTTGGAACCACCATGTAAACACAGGAGAGCACGCACCACACATCACTGACTCAGCCTCAAGTACACATACCAGGTACAAGCGACCTCTCAGCCGTGTCGGGCCCCTCGGCCTGCGCGGTGGCTAAGTATAAGTTTGACAGGCCGTGTTTCGGGTCAATCTCCGCCAGCGTCGATGAACAGGCGCCGATTATGACATACTTCTGCTCTATTGAATAGGGCACATGCGCGTCTTCTTCCAGCAGCTCACAGATATTCTCAAGTACGAACACGGCATGTCCTGTGTTGTCTGTTGACGTACGTAGCACAAGTGACAGAGCCTCCCACACGTCACAGGCAAACTGAAGCGCCGCCAGGTAATCGGATGCGGCGGTGGAGCGGATATATCGGGTGCGCAGCTGGAGAAGCAGTTTTTGCTCTATTTCGTGTCTTGTTTCATCATCTGTCGGAATAAGCAGATAAAAATTAAACCGATTACACAAAGACTACGGTATCATCTCACAACAGCAACGAACAACATATGTACACCGTTGTCACTGATATGGAGGACTACAGAGCATGT